CCAGATGGTCAAGGCCTAGAGAGGGTTCGATCCAATCCCGGTTTGTGGGATGCGATGCACGCATTCTACTTCAATTCAGGAATTGTAGATGGCTTATTGAATGCGATGTGCCTACCACAACTCGATATATCGACGGGGGCCGAGCCGATGTAGAGGTCAGTATTCTTACCTCATCGCAAAGGATACTGGCTACCAGAGTCATCTACGTCCCTGAGGGTAGAAGGCTTGGTCTGGCCTGGGAAATTGAACGCAGGAGCGCACGAGTGGTGAGGCGCGCCACTTGTCACTTGCGGAACCTGTATATAAAAATCAGATGAAGGATGCTAGCGTTTGTGAAAGTTTGATTTACAGAATAGTTGCCGCAATTCCACAGGTGGGCCTTTGGGGAGGGGCATTTTGTAAACTCCTGTCAACGTTCTGGGCTAAATGTAAAGTCTGAAACTTCCCATTAAAGCTACTAGCAGGAGCTCTAAGTTCTATATCCAAAAACGCATTCGACAATGGAAGCGAACGAGTGCAAAGCTGCCTGCTCTAGTCCCATTTAAATGTAAACAGATCAGGCCTACGGCAGAAGGAAAGGGCTAGAAGCATGATCAATCCAAAGGTGAATCATCCTTTCGAGATTTGACGAATCTCTCCTGGCGCAATTGAGGAAATTTCGCACGTCATGAGAGGTTTTGACTACACGAGCGCAGTTTCCTTTCGTTGTTCTCACCCATCCGTCTCCTTTCTGAGTTTATTTCGCTGAACTACCAGATCTTTAGATACTGACAGAACTAGTACTAAAAACAATTGTCCAGTTCCGATTGTACAGTGGAAATTCACAATACTTTTAGAAGTGTTCCGATATGTGACGGGAACTTCTGTCGCTCGCTCACCCCTCCTAATGGAGGGCGCACTAGGGGACAAGAATATCGGTTACTCGATGTCTCTGGCTGTCAGGATCAGAGATGTTTCCTCATCGTTCTGCGGTCGAGCATGGCTTAGAGGAAGAAAATAGGATGGATGAACGATGAGGAGAAGGAAGAAGGGAAGAAAAGATGGAATGGGGCGGCAAGGAGAAGAGACATACAAGGAAGTGAGGGACGAAGGCTCGCTGTTGGCAGTCATCACTGGTATGTAGGTGACAGCACACATAAATTGTTGATATATAATCGCCAAAGCCGTTTTCGTAAACACAGACGGCTTTGGGGAGGGGGGCATCATCAAATTGTCATTCTGCTGCTGACAAAGTTAAACAGAACTAAGGGAATCATTAGTAACCTGAGGCTACGACTAGACTGACATCCCAATGTCAAAACACGAACGCTCGCAGTAAAGGCCGGAGAAAAATGGCCGATTTTACTTACTTCCAGCTGCAAATAAAGGGTTTTGAACATAGCTGAAGGTTCTACTTCCTCGGCTACTGCACCCAATAATTCACCTGTGCATAAAGGCAAAAGTACACAGAATTGGGGAGGTTAGGGACGGGTGAAAGAGACACATGATATATTCTGAGCCGAAGAAGTGTGGCAAAAAGGCGGCGCTTCAAAGGCAAAATTTCTGAATATTACTGTACACCCAAATGCCCAGGTGTGAATTCGTCGAGTTCAGAAAGCCTATACGAAGATATCAGAAAAAAAGATACTGATCGTAATAGCCAGAAAAAGCAAAGCAAACTATGCATTTGCAAATAAGATGGCGCCTCCTCTCGATTTGACTAGTCGAGAACAACGTGAAGTAACTAGTTACTTGAATAGATTCTTCCCGGTTGACATCGCACCGAGCTTTTCATTTCTTTCTTGAGGTCACTTCAGCATGGAATTCTCATTGTCTCGTATCTACTCGCCGATAATTGCAAACCTCCTTGGCTAAGTGACCGATCCATTGACTGAGAATATTCCAAATGATGGGCGCTTTTCCGCAAGACAGGCCTGCAGGGCAGCACTTGTCACTCATTTTTGAAGCGTGAAAAAAGGCGTTCCTTCCCTGATTAAGGTCCATTAACCACGACGGCAAAACATCTGCCCATATGCTTAGTAGACCTTGCTCATGCAGAGACGCCACATTCACCTTTGAATGTAGTCAGGGGAAGAACGCGACAGAACTACCCTTATGAGGCCACGTAACCCACCATCGAAGTTACACTCGGTAATTACCCAAGACCTAGAATCCCATACTCTCGCAATCAAGCAAGTACACGAGGGGAAGTTGAGAAAGTTAGACGTTGGCTAATCAATAGCTGATTTGGGGCCGGGGGGGGATGTTACTGACCCGCCCACTACTCGACGAGCTATCCGCCCATATAGTGCGCACTGCTAGACTGCGCGTACGATCTGAGCGTGTCTTTGAGAAAGCGTTTCTCCGGGAAGGAAAACGGTGAGTTCTATCAAGGGACTCCAGACGCACAGTGCACGCTTTTAACACTATTTTATATGATCATATTGCAAGACTTGAATCCCACAGAGTTTCCCCAGAAGTTCAGCCACCTTGCTTGTCACAGCTAACAGTAAGTGCTATTAAAACATTCCAGCATCAAAGGCAGTTGGCACGATAAATTCCCAAGACGAGTAGGACTAATATGCCAGGCGGGGATGGAATTCCGTGCCCCCCGCAGCAGGCGCGTTATTCCAAGGAAGGCACGCGAGTGATGACTGCATCGCTCTTCTGCTCTCCCTCTCGGCCAAAATAGAAGTAATTCCATGTTTAGGAGATGAATATAACACCTTCCTAGCTATATTCAAAAGTTAAAACAGTCAACGCTGAAAAATGCGAAGAAGCAGTTGTAGGTTGGAAGATTCTTGCCTAAACTACAAAAGATTGCTGCCTGTTTGTTGTTGACTGTTATTGTTGACTAAAAAAGTTCAGACATTTGTTTTCAGCTTCTGTGGGATTTCTCAGCAAGTTCCCGGTAAATCTTGTTTGTTTTATCTAATTTATTGCCTAGATTCTGGACTTCAAAGTATGCCCCATTAGTCGAAGCCGATGAGTACATCACTCACGACGGAGTCCCGCTTGTCCCCCCCCAAAATCCTGTTAGACAAAGCATCCCTTTTCCTCAATTTATTGTGATTTATAATGGCTCTAATTTCCATCTTGTTTCTGCATATGAATCCTCTGAGATTAATCGTCGGCTCATGGTTTCTCGTTTATTTTTGCAGGTCTTTCATTTTTCGGTAGCTGTTTGTCCGCTGCTGATCTGGACCGCTGGTACCAGATTAGCAGCGGACAAGGGGGAGGGTCGTATCGAGACCTTTTTTGGAGGGGGATCGCATTTAGCAGAAAACTTTTATCACAACGCGATGGGCGCCTGCCCTGGCTTCCACGAAGTCAAATCACTTGCTCCCGGCTCGCCGAGCTCAGGCCTAGCAAGCCTTCTACCCTCCGAGCGCCCGTAAATTCAGTAACCATATAAAGAGCTACACTGACTTCTGAATTCGGCTGGCCGCAAGCCACTGTTCGGACCTAATCGCGATTCAGTAGGGAACATTACGATTCTTGAATGGAAGGTAGAGATTTACTATTAGCTTACTTTACATTATGCACGCTCAGGTGCGCTTCCACAACAATCAACTTATACTAACGATGATTTACTATCTTAGCTGAATTAAGGAACAGACATTCATCAGAATAGGTAAAGTTCTCCAGTCTTCTGACTTTGCTGGAAGAATAACAAATGATTGACGAAAGAGTCAGCTCTACCACCTGTAGGGATCATCTGCCTTGGGGTAAGTAACATTAGCTCCAGCTAACAGTAACTGCTCAAGTGGCGCACCTTACGCTAGGGGATAACGTCAATCCCTATATAGAAAACCAGAGCATATAGAATCGGAAACTTGCCATTTTCGCATGTTAAGGTAGTTCCCATCCCTAACGATTCAGTCCCGGACAGCCAAATTAGCATTGAACTCTCAAAAAAACTTGCGCTCTCTGATAGCAGCTCCCCTACGGTGTTCGCTTCATAGCGGTAAAATGAGGATAAATCCCGACGGCTGAGACCTACTCAATAATTCAAGACACTGGTTTAGGTAAGATGCCAGTCGTATCTGCAAGACGAGCTAGTGCTCAAAAGAATATGAAAAAACAACGACAGAAACCCAAAGGAATCGAAGCAGCCATAAAGAATGCCAATAAACTTGAGTAAGTGCCTGTCACCGCATCTAAAGGAGCAGGGCATAGGGAAATAAAATGAGTAGCAACGAGGCACAGATCTGACTGATATGCCCAACTAGAACTAGATCAGGATCAACTTAAGCAGAGAAAAATACCAGGAGGCTGCAGCTATCAGCAAGAAAGCCTTATTATCAGGTTATCAAATCCAAGAGCGAACACTAACATGAGTTCAAGCACTCCTGCAAGAAGCATGGTAATTTTTCTGTAATCTGCTTAGAGGTAATACTCTGCTGACGCCACACAATGAGACATCAATCCACGTCCCGCATAGAGAAGTACGCGAAAGCATACGTGCTTCCTACGAAGGAAACTTTTTTAGCATAAATGAGGTTGTCTACTCCAAGGCAACGTCTGCTGACAACAGGCATGTGGAAAGACAGGTATACCGTACGACCACGAGACGGCCTAAAAATCCAATATTTACTAGGTCTCAGCTTTGTCTCCCCCTTAAGAATTCTGAAGCAGAAAACTAAATCGTTTACAACACGACGGAAGAGCAAGCTATTTAGATTGAACATTCGCAGTCGCTCCTTATACGAAGGCAGAGTATTCAGGGACGGATCTGAAGAAGACCTATGATAAAGGATCTTAGTGAAAATCTCTTGAAATCTCTCCAACGTAGATGGCTTTTCTTGGTGAAAGCACTCGAGAGTGGGAGCCATACTCGAGAATTGGCCTGACATAAGTTTTGTAGGGTTTAAGTAAGATCGATACATCATTGCATTTAATATTACGACATATAATGAACAACGTTGATAAAGCCTTTCGAAAAATATCATCTATATGTTTCTCAAAAGTCAGACTGCTACTTATGTAAATTCCTAGGTCACGTACTAAATCAGAGCTCTTTAATGTCGATCCCTCGAAACTATATTCTGTAGGTGCGTCATTTCCGAAATGCAGTACGACAGTTTTTGAGAGATTAACGGAAGACCCCGTGTCACGGACCATTCCATCATATTTGAAATGGACCGTGACATAGCTTCGATGGCAATGTCCTCTTCTTTATATAAACCATAAACCTTGATGTCATCTGCGTATTGCTGGACTCGAACTGAAGAATGAGTTCTCAGTAACGACGGCAGATCACGATCACGTGTGTAGGCAAGGAAAAGTAGGGGGGACAAAACACCACCTTGTGGCACACCACTAAGGCAATCATAGAGACTAGAATAGGAATTTTCTACCTTGACACACATTGTTCTATCCGTAAGATAGGATCGTAGCCAGTTTAGAAGCATTCCTTGAACCCCTAATTGCTCCAGCTTGAGCAGAAGCTTTATGTGGTTTACTTTATCGAAAGCCTTAGACAGATCGAAACAGGTTACATCAGTTGAATAACCCTTACTCAGTGCCACACTCCAGTCATGCAGTCGGTAAGTTGGGCTGCAGTACCTACTGGTGAAGCCTCGCTGTTCGCAAGGTATAACGCGATTCCTTGCAAACCACGAAAGCAGCTTATCTCGAATTACCTTCTCCAGAATTTTGACGGGAGGAATCGTAATGCTGATGGGACGAAAGTTAGACACCAAAGGTACACTTATGAGTTTCTGGAATAGCGGTGATGATAGCTTTCTTCCAAATCATCAGGACTTCCCCATACAACAAGATGCATTGAAGAATAATGTTAGCGGCTTAGCAAGCGCAGTGGCACAGTTTTTATAAATAATTTGGGGTATTCCATCAGCAGTTACAGAAGTAAACTTTTTTAGTGATTTTAACAGCCTCAAGACTTCACTGGGGTGGATTACAAAGTCATCCAACCCCAAAGAAGTCTTTCTTTCAAGATTGGGACAACTCGTATCACTATTGCGTACAAAGACCGAGGCAAAAAAACCACCCAAAGCTTCTGCTTTTTGATCATCCTCAGCGTATCTGTTCCCTGAATCATCATGTAAAACAGAAAGCTCCGCAAGCATGGGTTGATTTTGGCCTTGACTAACGGAAAAATTAGGTTTTCATTAGAATTATTGTATATCCGTGTTCCTGAGATTGCTAGGAAAGTCTAGCTTTACGCAGATGTTCCTATATTGTTGGTTTGGGACACCATCTGTCAAGTTGCCGAAAAGGCGGGTCTTCTGAGAACTTAAGATTTAGAAAATGCCTAGGGTAGCGCAAACGCTTAATTTTCCTTCGGACGAAGAGGAACAAAATGCACTAAAGAGGAATAAACCGCATCCGAGAGTGCGTGCCACATTCTGCAACGGCAAAAACTTGATCATCTATCCTTTTATCCGTTCGATGATTTCAAGCAGAAGAGAAGAGGCCTAGACTCTTATCATAAGATTCAAAAGAAAAAAGAGCGAAAAGTGAATGAGAATTAACTGTTTGAAGAACAGAATG